AATTACTAAAAATGTATGTCTAAATGTGTAGCGCAGTGTGCATATTTTAAAACTAATTCATAATAAAATAAACACATAAAATTATGAATATACCACTTGCTGATTGATATAAATGCTTTGAATGGAGCAAACACAAGAGAATAATTTTATGTGCAACACATGCAGTAGTTCCATTCGTAATTCGTGATCGTATTTGTTGCATTTCATTTGTAGCATTTAAAGAATTGATTAAATTTTAACAAGTCACCAACATGCTGGTGACAAAAAATGTTCATACGATTTGTAAAATGGGACTATCAACGCACTTTAGCTCATGTTCAGTCTTTTTTCGTAGCTCATTTGTGAAAATAGCGTATCATATGTAGAACATGTGTCATTAAATATGAAAACAATGAACATAAAGAACATTATACAAACGGAAACAATCCGAATGTGAAATGAGTCACTCATTAATTGCATATTTCGATCGCAACCGAATTATATGAAAGTCTACGGCATCTAAATTGTATACGGAAAACTTTTTCAACTCACATCATCACTCTATCATATATTAGTGTGCTCTTAGTATCAAATTAAAGGAGATGTATAAATAATTTATTCAGCACCAATTGAAATGATAGAGTTCACTTGAATTTGGGCTCAGACCAACGTTTGAATCGTTTGGGGTTCAAAATCAGCGAATTTCTTTGGCTTAAGAGTGTATGTTCTAAGTACAAGCTTGCCAATCCGATAAGTACATGTATTCACCTCCTATCGTCTATGTAACATACAGCCTATGTATGCGGAATGCGTACATTCTCAAACGCATACCAACAACCTACATCCGTACATGCTGTACATGGTTGTCATTTGTAAGATTCACCACCTTATCGAATGAATTTCAACCAAATAATTGCTACACATCCAGGGCTTTTGTGAATGAGATATTTTTCTCTTCAGTGACCGAAGGAGATTTGTTTAATTGCTTGACATTACTTTAAATTAAGGTTTCGATTCATACTTGAGTTGTGCTGTATGTCTTGCCCATTGCCATCTTGTTATTTTCTATCGTAGTACTTCGGATTCATTTTTGCATCCATTCGTGTTTGTCTCAGTTGCACCATGTAATTTATATTGCTTATCAGTAAATTGGCAAATGTTTGCTCCCTCATCAATTTAAAGCCGTAGTACATTTGCGGTAAAGGTAGCATTCTAATTTAAAACTAAACGAATGCTAAAACATGGTTTAATATAAATTGGGCATTAATACAAAATGATACATCAAAGCGGCATATAGTCGGGCTCCACATTAAACGCGTAACTTGATTAGCAAAATTTATCAAACAGTATTTGATGTTTGGCCAGAAAGGGACATCAAAATTTACAAGCAACAAAACAAATCGGTGGCCTTGCCACATTGTAACATCAATGCATATGAATTGATCAGAAGTGAGTAGATTGATCGAACTCTTAGCCAAAAAAATAAACGAGCGTCGGATCTAATTTACATTAAAATCATTAAGCATTATAAGGTACTTACGGGATGTTCGTGTTCGTCCTGAAATAGCTCAGACACCAAAAAAAACTTCGGCAAAGTGCATTTAAATGTGTTTGGAAAATAAAAAGTATTTTAGCCATTTCGTATACTGTGCGAATATGTGTATTTATATACTTGTGGAACGCACACAAAGTGCAAAGTGGCAAAGCCAACGCCTGAACTAGAACGAGAGAGAAAGAGAGAACGACGAATAGGGCAAACAATAACATAGTCGAAAAAAGTATTTTCGCTACATTAAAATTTTATAAAGAATACTTTTCCATCCTTTAAAATATGTGTCACATGCTATTTTTCCCAAACATCACTTACTCACTTATGTGGTATCGTATTAAATATATAGAAGGACGATGGTATTAACGAAAAAAAGAGGAGTAGAGGCGAATTGTCACCGTAAACAGGAGAGTCATTTTGATTTTTCATGTGTTGTACTCTTGTTCGCTGTTTAAACTCATTTTTTCCCTTGATTATCCGAAGTGCAGCTATCATTGTGTGTAATGGAAACAGTTTAAGATGCAAAGATCTTAAGTCTTTAGTACTTTTTGATACATAGCTCTCTCCCTCTCTCTCTCTCTCTCTCTCTCTCTCTCTCTCTCTGTCGCATATTGCCGATTGTAACCGGTTTTTATTTATTTTTTCTTAGCTGTGCTTCCATAGTGCTCGACTGCTCATTGATTTTCACCTAAAAGACTTTGTGAAATCTAGAATCATGATTGGAACGCTTGAAGTCTGAATAAGATGAGAGCGTAAAAAAGGAAAAGTTCAGACATACCAAATTCATCGAATCCCAAACTAGAAGCTACACTTGGGGATGAGTAAAAAGGAAACACAGATTATCGAAAAGGTTAATGCTCTGCACACACACATCCCATTGACTGTATATGTTCCATTTCCAAAATCAATTCAGTTATCCATGGTTTACTTCATTTTTTCACACCATTAAATTAAATGTATTTCATTTTCGACAACTCCATTTCAATCCACATTGCATGCCACTGGAGCGTTTGTGATGGAATCATGTTGCATTTGAAATGGAAACCAAAATCAAAATCGAAATTACAATTCAATGACCAATTTAATGTCGTACGCAACACTCAGTACTATGCACAAATACATGTACCTATTTGACATGGTATGGATGCTCATAGTATCGGGTTTGGGTGTTCGGTTGTTGTTCGATGATGATACAGCGAATTGAAAAGATTGGATCAGCGATTATATCTCGAGTAAACAAAAAGTGGTAATCAGATCAGATGGTTGAGGGCAAATATTTTCTCGAATAAAGATGAGATTCTTATAGGAACCGGGATTAGTTAATTTAATACAATATTTTCGGCAAATTTTCTATTTTCATCCATACACAAAAACGTGTCACATGACAATCCTTGAAACACAAGAACAGTACAGATACGCCCCGAAAAGAAACCAATGATTGGCATCGTGCGCAAAAAAGTACGATCTCATCATGTTGTGGTGTAATTTTTATCGAATACAGTCCGCACACAGTTGATTTATTTGTGTGCATTCAATCTCCGAGAACAATATTTTCACTGCAAAACTGATCGATGCTTTAACGCATTAAAAACGTTCGTTTGGCAGTTATTTCTAGCTGAGATTTGAGAAAGTTGTAGGGGAGTATCGTTAAAAAAAGATATCATTTACGCTGGTTAACGTTTAACACTGTTAGAGCTGAAGTGACAACGTCGTGTGTGCAGCACGTGACTTATTTTTTTTTAAATGCATTCAATTTCATGGTTAAATCATTTTATGTGATTTTCTCATTATTTCTGATTGGATTTGTCCGCAATCCTCAAATCGTTTGGCGACAACAATGCACTAAGGCATTCTGGCCTCTAAAGTAGTAACAGTAGTTTGGTAGTATATTAGCACAGTTGGAAAATGAATGGGAAAAAAAGAGAAGCATTCATTACGGATAAGTGACATGGTGGTTCAGCAACCTTACCAAAAATGAGGAAAAACAAATGAGTGTAGGGCTGTGTGTCTTATTCCGCCTTGTGCAAGAACATCGCATAATAAATTATTGGCGTGTGGGAGCAAATTATGTCACAACAACACCCAAATATATTTAATCACTTTGAATGGGAATTTAAAAGGAACATAATTTGCGCAACTTCCAGATTGAAACCGTCTCATCGATCGATATTGTCTGTTGATGCGTAACGAATTGACATACCATTTTGGGACCAATTCCACATTTCTTTCGAGATGCTCAATTAGAAATCTTTTTCGTTTATAGACGGAAAATGAGAAGCATTTTTTTCTTTGATAATTTATAGAAAAACAACAAACGACCCACTGAAAGCGGTGAAAACCAATAACGTCGAGAACAAATCAAAGCTAAAAACTTATAATTTTTTTGGTCAATTATAATTACTGAATTTTTTTCTTTGGGTGTAATAAGTGAAACGAACGCAACTGATTAATCAAAGTCGAAACAAAAACATCAATTCAATATGCACCTTTTGTAGATGCGTGATGGGACAAGTTTTTGTCCCCGTACTATTTTCAACCCCGATATCTTATTCTGGTTTCGTTTGTGTCGCATGTGTTCTTATTTTCACATAAATGTATTCAGGATTATGAGTTCGTATTCGATGTGTGCTCGCTCGTGTCATTGCCTACTGAACACTGCCATGCGTTTCGTATAGCTATAGCTTCAATACCCAAACGAATCCGACGAATTTAACGATAAAAAGACATATACCCCAATGACGGAAACAAATTAAATGAAGTCAAGTGTAAAATTATAAATTTAGTTCGCACTTTACAAACAAAAATATTCAATTATGTGAAACGAATTTATAATCGGATTTCCAAATGACAATGGATGGAAGTGAAAGGAAGGCAACTGAATTAAAGTCGAACGGAGAGAACAAAAAAACGAGAACATTGTAAAAGAGAGCGAAAGAGAGTGACAAATACATGCACAGCGTAGTCATATAGGGAAAAAGGCGGTTGAGAATGGGAAATAAGTAGTCCGTATACAATTGTTTATGTCGCAAAATTTTTAATACATACACAAATTGATGCTACGCCATTGGTAAATAATTGACAGTAACGAAATTCTAGAGTGAGAATATTAATAATTTAAAAAAAGGGATCATTCATCCGACTGTCAACCAATTGAAATATTATTTAATCGTTATTATTCTTGTTTATTTTGACTTCCTCAGCGATTCCCTTTTTTTTTTAGCATAATGACAATTTTCAAAATAATTGAACTGAAATGGAATCAAAACATTTCTCAAAACGAATGAACTCACCTTTTAAATGTCAATGATGAAGACTCCTCATTCAAGGAAATCTGGAATTTGGGCTGCATATTAAATATAATTTAATGCTGAAACTTCAATGCTCAAATATGAAAATCAGAGAAGAAAAAATTCGACTCTTTAACAAATGAATTATTGCACACAATTATTTTCATTTTCTTTTTAGGCAATTGAATCGCAATTTTATTTTGGTTTCATACATATATGAAAAATAAACGAAAAAAACGCTAAAGTACTTGAACATCTGAACATACGGATTGTATAACCGAAGATAAAACGTAAACCTAAAAACGATAAGTCTGGATTCCAAATTCGATTCACTTGTATGTTAATTTTCAATCTTTCTGTCACCAACTGCAACATTCTTTACATTTTTACCGCATTCCAATACCTCTGCCACCGCTTCATTGCCCAGGATAAACTTTCTTCTATACAATTTGTTTTTAGTTATGATCTGTTATATGTATATATATATGTATTCATATATATATATATATATATATAGATATATATATATATGTATATATATATCTTCGTTTTTTTATGTGTGTTTTCCTTCCGAGTAAACTCGCTTGAGATTTGTAAAATTGTTTTTAACGGGATTTATACAATTGTGTAAACGGTTTGTAGGTGTGTGTGTATTTCCTTTATGTCTCCTCATATATTCAGTACCAACATCAAACATCGATGTATGTCATGTTGTATAGTACATTATAATCGGAGGATGTTCTTTTTTGTAATGTATAATAATTTTTTTTTTCAATTTTCAATGGTTGATCACAATTATACAGGACTTTTCAATTAAAAACTTTTCATCAAGTTGAGTCATTTTTTTCGTTTCTGCTTCCCTTTTTCCTCACTTTCTCTCTCTCTCTCTGTGTGTCTCTTTTTTTAGTTCGCTTTCGATGTTTCTTCCTTACTTAATGTTTGTTCGAATTATGTAGATTTTCTGTGTTGCTTGCACTTTTTTCAATTCAGTCACTAGCTATGCTTATTCAATTTTGATTCGAACTTGCTGTTCTTTTCACTGCCCCCACTTATGTGTGTGAATGTCCCAAATGATGAGCACTTAAATGATGAAAATACGGTCCATAAGGAGGATAAGGTACAGCATGTGGATAAAGAAGACCTCCGGCATAGCCAGAAGGACCAAATGCACCACCCGATGACGATGGCGGCACTGTCGGACTATTTACATCCATACCCGGATTCTGCTTTTTCCATTTTGTACTGTGAAATGTGAAGACAAAACGAAAAAACAGTGAGCCACAAATTTTTTTTTTGCACACGTGTTGACCTTAACCAACAGCCTTACGAAGAAACACAAAAACATCATGCCTATTGCTAGTTAAATACATGTTCAGATTTTAATTCTTTATTGAACAGGAGGGAAGACAAGAAAAAAATAAATTTTTCTTAACATTTTCTTCACGTGCCGTTCTTGTGAATTCAAAAACAATTCTTGTGAATCTCTTGTGAAATTTAGTGGTGAATTTTGTATTTGAACGAAGTTGGCTAGAAATGTAACAAAAATGTGCGATTGTGCCATCGTTATAAAAGTGGTGTACTTACCGGCGATTTTGGAACCAAATTTTAACCTATTTCCACAAACAAATCGAAATAAAAATGTAATCAATTTCAAGCATCAGTAGAAAAAAAAATTCATTTTAAAAAAATATGTGGCTAATTTAAAGTGAAAATAAATGTTTCTTACTTGTGTTTCAGTAAGACTAAGACTTAATGCAAGGTTAAGGCGTTCACACACTGATAAATATCGTGTTGTTTTAAATTTATTTTCTAATGAGACCAGTTGTTCATACGTAAATGCAGTTCGGGCTCTGAATGGAAATTAAACAAAATATTCGATTTTAGTTACATTAAATTATTTTGCGTATAATTTATTTTCTTGTATTTTCTAAATTAACCAAATCTACCGTCTTGGTTTGGAGCTGTTTCCGTGTGACTTGCTTTCGTTCGAGCTCCCACGTGAAGTTCCGCGAGAACCCTCTTTTTTCGAATCTGTCTCACTGGTTCGATCATCAATATCGCTACACATCACATCATCGCATTCATCTTGGTCATCGTCATTAATGTCAGCCACTAAACCCAAAATAGTATATTCATTTTCACTCATTAATTATTATTGCAGTATTAGCGGTGCACAAGCATGGAAGCGTGCATTGTGAATAAATAAACGTATGCGGTTGACCATTTTGCATTTTATCTAACCTTTAAAAATATTATCCTAAAATCTAAACGTTGCGAAAAAAAAACCATTGAACAAAACAAAATCACGCAACTATTCGCAAGTTCATTTAACTGACATAGAGATGCGTGCTAGAGCTAAAGCGGAACTAATATTCGAACACGTAAACCGGCAAATTTAAATAATTCCACAGGATCAATGTTCAGCAAATAGTACAGCAATGAGTTGATTTCAATGTGCACCATTCGGAAAACAGCGAAAATACGACAGAACAGTGTTTTTGGTCATGGATTTGAATAAAAAAAAACACCAAAAACGTGGAATCTCCTATGCAAAACATGTAGAAATGGATACGACTGGAATTTCTCCCGCCGTCGTGTTGGCAATACTGATCAACATAAATGTTTGAAAAAAATTCAACGAACCGATGGACGAATGACACACGAGAGATTCGTAAACATCCGAAACATATATGAATGGGCAAGCGGAATAATGAAACGTAATTCTGTTTTTAAATGAAGTGCCTCTGAGAAAAATTTTCAGTAAAAAAGCCCCACAAAAATATTGTCTGAATAAGATTTTCATACAAATTTT